CTTGATCGCCTCAGCGTACGATCGAGGAGTCAGGATGTCTGGTGCATCCTGGTCTCCCTAAGGGGCAATCAGCGTGGACACGAGATGAGGCAAAGCAGCAGCAAAACACTGGAACTCCTACTGCGTGTCCTCAAGGACGTCCGTGCTAAGAGCACACTCACCCCCGATGGACGGAGGATAGACAGACACAGAATCAGCAACAAGACTCGCAGCGTAGTCAAGACGACAGCGAGCAGCAAAGTCGACAAGCTCAGCAACTAAGGCAGACGCAGCAGTGGACTCAAAGGAAGGGTCAGTGACAATAGTAGCCAGGAGACGCGTGACAGTAGGACTGGCACCACGATGAGAGTCAGACTCCGGGTCAGCAAGAACAGAAAGAGAGGACTCTGGAGGAGACGGCAACGGGACACGCAGAGGAGAAGTGGAAGGACGCAGTGCCATCTGGTGTGTGCCTGGGACCGCAGGAGGACGCGGACGTGAAGCACGACCACTAGTGCGAGCAGCATGAACAGGCGACGTAGGGCGAGACACAGGCTCACGACGCTCAGCAAGACCTCCAGTAGGACCAGTGTAGGGAGAAGGAGCAGGTAGGGGGGAGGCGGGCTGTAACTGTGACCGCGACTGGACAGGCTGTGGACACTCTAAGGGAGGAGCAGGACTAGTAGAGGGCGGGAGACCAAGAACCTGCTCAAGGAGCGGAACGAAGTACGGCCGCGGCCGCGCAGCGCCTCCAGAACCAGCAGGGACAGCACCAGTACCCCCAGCAGCAGCACCAGCGCCAGCAGCACCTCCAGCTCCAACAGCGTCAACTCCAGCACCCTCAGACGCACCAGCGCCAGCAGCACCTCCAGCGCCAACACCCCCAGCAGCTCCAGCTCTAGCAGCTCCAGCTCCAGCAGCACCAACTCCAGCAGGACCGTCAGTAGCACCCCCAGGCCTAGTAGCTCCAGTACCGCCAGTACTAGCACCTCCAGGACCAGTGGCTCCAGTAACTCCAGTGCCGACCCCAGGGCCAGCTGTAACAGCAGCACCTCCAGCTCCAGCAGCATGGCTCTAGCGCCGGGCAAACCACTCGCGCAGCTCCTGTGGAGAGGGTAGCTCCCGCCTTGACGAAGCACCCGAAGGGGCCCCAAACCCAGCACCGCCAGAGGCCACACGAGCAGACCCTGCACCCCAAGGCTCCGCACCTCCAGGCTCAGCACCCCGATGCTCCGTACCCCCAGGCTCCGTACCCCCAGGCTCGGCACCCCCAGCCTTCGCACCCCTAGGCCCTGCACCCCCACACTCAGCACCCCCAGGCTCAGCACCTCTAGCAGTACGAGAGTCAACAGCTACCTCGACAGGCTCGACTGCGTCTACCTGGGACACACATTACGGGGCAGGACCCTGAGGGGGGAGGGGGTCTACCGCGGGGGGACCTGGCGCAAGGAAGAGCGGCGGGGGGGGGGGAGGGGTGCAGTGCGGTAGGGGAAGAGACGGTAGTAAGGAACCGACTCGTCAAACGTGACGTCCTCGGAGGACAGAACACGGCGCGAGGTGGGGTGGTAAAACTACCAACCAAGCGCGTCAGGGGGGAAGCCAAGGAAGACGCAGGGATCCGCACGGGGGGACAGCTTGTCCACAGACAAGTCGCGGACAAACGCCCGAGATCCCCAGACACGAAATGCAGACGCATCACCAACCTTCTCCGTCCACCGTAAGGTGGGGGAGGTCTCCGGCAAGGAGACCCGGGGCTGAAGGTTGATCTGATGCGCCGCGTACCGAACCGCAAACGGCCACAGAAAATGGGGAGCAGCCGGATGGACCATGGACGTACGAGCGACGTCCATGACCATGCCAATGCGGCACTCAGCAATCCCATTTTGCTGTGGAGAGGCCGGAAGCGTGAAGGTCTGCCAGATGCCCTGTGCACGACAGAAGGCTCCTAGAAGGGCAGTGGAAAACTCCCCGCCTCTGTCAGAGTGAAGACGCAGAACAGGAAAGTCCGAGCCGAAACTCTCTCTGAGATGGAGACGAGCCGCGCGGATCCAGACGATCAACACCTCAGTGACGTCACCCTTGCTGCGCAAGGGGAACACCGTGGTGTAATGCGAGTAGTCGTCAACCACCAACAGGAAGTAAAGCTCGTGACCCTGGCCACGGACGCGGGCGGGGCCCCACACGTCCATGTGAAGAGTATGCAGGGGAGCCTCTGTCGGAGGAAACTCGGAGGAGTGAGGGGCGGCACGCTGCTGCCCCTCGAAGCAGGGAACGCAGGTAGGGGCAGGCCCCGGAGGGAGGGGAGGGAGGGACCGGGGGAGACCAGAGACAAGGTAACGGGAGGCCATGCCTCAGAGACGAGGCAGGGAGGGGTGACCAAGGCGGTGGTGTTAGAGGAGGGTCTAGTGGGACAGGAGACGAGACGAGCAGGGAGCAGACTCAGGACCAGACCTGGACGCTGCAGCAAATACCTGACTCGACGCAACTACCTGACCAGACTCAGCAACCGGAGGAGACTCAGTAGTCAGTGTGTACAGGCTCGACCCCGGCCGACGGGTAAACGTGGCCAAGTGTCGGCCCGTCCGAGCACACGTACAGTGGGTCACCCGCTGACTCGCAGGAGTGAACTGATCAACCCCCCCATTCTGTAGGTCAGTACCACTCACCAAGTTCGTAGAGAACGAGGGGAGGTAGAGACCAGATAGGGTGCCAGAGGGGGCTGCCAGACACGGTAAGACAGTGGAGAAGTGAGCAAGGACAGGACCCCCAGAGGGGTCCGCCAGGGAGACCGCAACCGGCCGACTAAGCGGCCTAAGCGTGGTGCGATCTTGAAAGAAGGAGCGGGAAGCACCCGAGTCAAGGGTGAAGGTGTGGCGAAGAGGGCGGCGACGGGGCCGCAAGCGGGGGGGGGCGACGGGGCCGCGAGAGGGGGGGGGGCGACGGGGCCGCGAGAGGGCGGCGACGAGGCCAAAAGGGGGGGGGGGGGGGGGGGGGGGGGGGGGGCGGCGACGGGGCCGCGAGAGGGCGGCGACGAGGCCGCAAGAGGGTGGCGACGGGGCCGCGAGAGGGCGGCGACGAGGCCGCAAGAGGGCGGCAGTGGGGGCCGCTAGAGGGCGGCGACGCGGCCGCGAGAGGGCGGCGACGTTGCCGCGAGGGGCGGCTGCAGGGCCGCGACGGGCGGCGACGCAACCGCTAAGGGCGGCGGCGGGGCCGCGAACGGCGGTGACGGGGCCGCGAGAGGGAGGCGACGGGGCCGCGATAGGGCGGCGACGGGGCCGCGACGGGGTGGAACAACCCTCTCACAGAAGATCACTATTATCAGTACGACGAGGACGAGCAAGACTGGCATCAACCAATACAACTACGGAAAAGCTTGCCTCATGAGCATCAACGTTTTGTCCCTGTGGGGTGGAAGAAGGATGAAGACCCATCGTTCCACAGAAGATACAAGTCAACCCAGGTGACTCCGCGACTCACGTTACTTTTGCGCAACGACCACAAAAACCAACAAACCTGGTACCTGGACAGCTGCTGTGGCTAGCACATGGTGGGATCTATGCGGTACATCTCGAACATCAGCCGCTCTCGCGCCACCTACGTCACCGTCGCTCACAACGAGCAACTACGGGCAAACGCACAAGCTATCGTGGTGTTGCAAGCTCGAGACAGCAACACGCACATATCGTTCAGTGGCATGCTTTACATACCAGATCTCCGCTTTAACCTCCTATCAGCAGGACAACTCAGAGACTGTGGAGTCATGCTAGCCACAGACCCATACACGAGCGATCTCATTCTCACCTATGCTCCCCCAGACACGCATCTTGAATCGCACAAATACCTCAGCAGAGCCCGCTCAATGGACGACGTCTACGTGCTAGACTTTGACATACCCAGTTGCCAGGCCTCATCACATGAGCTCGTTGATCTCGTTCCGCTGTACTTTCTGTTCATGAACAAGGAGTCATGGCAGCATCCAAACGGATGACCGTGGATTCGACGCAGCCCTCATCTTGTGAGGTAAATCTGCACCAACCCGGCCCCAACGGAATCTGCTGTCAAACTCATATGCTATAGTCTATGTAGGTTGTAGTGGGGTAGACAATATGGGGTACAACACTTTTAGGTTTTCCTACTTGTACCCACCTGCTTGCTAGTTCATTCATTCCTCATTTCATACATGGTATCAGAGCAGGTTCCCTAGTGGGAACGCTTCTTAGGGCCCACCACTGAAATCGATTTTTTTTTCTCCTAACCGGAGCGCGAGTTGCCCCTGCCCGAGGCGCGCCCCATGGACCGCCCTCTCGTCGCGTCCCCTGCCCTTAGCGGCCTGTCGCGCCCTCCTAGAGGCCCCTCTCACGGCCGCTCGCGCCACCCCTAGCGGCCCCGTCGCCACCCTAAGCGGCCCCGTCGCCGCCCTTCTAGGCCCCTCGCGGCCCCTTCGCCGCCCCGTCGCCGCCCCTAGCGGCCCCGTCGCCACCCTAAGCGGCCCCGTCGCCGCCCTTCTAGGCCCCTCGCGGCCCCTTCGCAGCCCCGTCGCCGCCACTACGGCCCCGTCGCTACCCTTTGAGGCCCCTCACGGCCCCTTTGCGGCCCCGTCGCCGCCCCTAGCAGCCCCGTTGCCGCCCTCTCGCGGCCGCGTCGCCGCCCTCTTGCGGCCTCGTCACCGCCCTTAGGGGCCCCGTCGCCGCCCCTTGCAGCCTCGTCGTCGCCCCTTTCGGCCCCTCCCCAGCACCTCCCCGGCCCCTCCCCGGCCCCTTAACCGCCGAACCACCGAGCCGCAGAGCCGCCGAACCGCCGAGCCGCCGAGCCGCCGAGCCGTTGAACCGCCGAGCCGCCGAGTCGCCAAGCAGCCGAGCCGCCGAGCCGCCACTACCGAGCCGCTGCCGCCGAGCCGCCGTCGAGCCGCTACTGCCACTACCGAGTCGCTGCCACTGCAGTTGCAGCCCTGTTCCTACCGGCGAGCCCCGGCCCTACCCACCCGGACTGGTGAGAGCACTCCCTGCTAGACCACTGCTGTCATGGCTACCCCCAGTGTCCTTACCTTTGATGCTGAGGGTCGTGCTGTTGACTTCGAGGTCTGGGTCGATGACCTACAGCTCTTCCTACAGTGCGAAAGGGCAGAAGGACTCTCCCTGTTCGATCTCACCTCTTGTGCCTCTCTTGCCCCGCCTGCTACTGCTGACAGCACTGTTCGCTCACAGTGGGCCACACGCGATGCTGCTGCCCGTCTTGCTGTGCGTCGCCACTTACCGACCGCTGAGCGTGCGCACTTTAGTCAGTACAAGAGTGCTAAGACCTTGTACGACGCTGTAGTTGCACCCTACTCTTCCCCTGCCACTGCTGCCTAAAGCCGCCTCATGCTGCCGTACCTGTTTCATGACCTCGCCGCCTTTCCCACTGTCCCTGACCTCGTTACGCACCTTCGCACTAGTGACACCCGCTACCGCGCTGCGCTTCCTGCTGATTTCTGCGCCAAGAACCCCCCCCCCATGTACATCACCCTCTACTACATAGTCACCCAGCTCCCTGACTCCCTTCGCTTGGTCAGGGACCACTTCCTTTCTGTTTGCTCCACCACACTCACCGTTGACCTCCTCGAGGAGCGCCTCCTGGCAGCTGAGAAGAGTATAGTCGCTGTAGGAGCCTCTCGAGGTGACCCTCGTGCCCGTGTCTTTGAGGGGTGCTCCCCCTCCCCCCTTTTGCCCTCTGTTGCCTCTACTGCTGCCGTCGACTTCGTTGGTTTCGAGTCGGTCAGCGTTGCGTCTGCCCCTAGCGGGCAACGCCGCACCGGCAAGGGCAAGGGGGGCAAGGGCGCTGGAGGGGCTGGCGGGGGCAGTGGAGGTGGCGGTGGAGGAGGCGGAGGGAGTGGGGGTGGTGGTGGGAGTGGTGGCGGGGGTGGAGGTGTCGGTGGCAGCAGTGGAGGCGGAGGAGGCGGCGGAGGTGGCGGTGGGAGCGGAGGAGGAGGCGGTGGCGGCGGTGGCGGAGGTGGCGGCGAAGGAGGTGGAGCTAGTCGGGGTGGCTCTGCGCAGCGGGGCAGCTTATGTGGTGGTCAGCACCAGCAGCAGCAGCGCACTCGTGAGACCCCGTCCCCCCAGCAGCTTCGTGGGTGGTACGCTGGGCGTCAGCGAGGTGGGGGTACTGGTCCCTGTACCTACGTCCTCCGTACCGGCGACCGCGCTGGTGAGCAGTGCGGGGGCTCGCACTCCACCCAGCGCTGCTTCGGCCGCCTGACGGACGCTTGGCGTCACCAATTCCGTGACGCCAATGAGATTTCTCGCTGGGGAGAGCTGTCTGGGGCGGGGGTTGCTATCTTTGATCTTGACTATGATGCTCTTCTTGCTGCCATGTATGCTGTGTCTACTAGTGATGAGGGTGACTGTTACCTGTGTGTTCCTCCTCACCCGGGCATTGAGGCTGCTGCTCTAGGTGCTGGTGAGGCTGCTGCTCTAGGTGCTAGTGCGTCTGCTGCCGCAGGTGCTGGTGAGTCTGCTCTCTCAGGTACCACGTCGACTCAGGCCTTACACACCTTCACCCTTGACTCGGGTGCTTCCCACTCCTTCTTTCGAGACCGCACCTTGCTTACGCCGCTTAGTCGGCCAGTTGCGGTCTCCCTGGCGGACCCCTCTGGGAGTCTTGTCCTTGCTCGCTTCTCCACTGTCTTACCGTGTCCGGCAGCCCCCTTTGGCACCCTGTCAGGTCTCTACCTCCCCTCGTTCTCTACGAACTTAGTGAGTGGTGCTGATCTACAGGGTCGGGGGGTTGACCAGTTCACTCCTGCGAGTTAGCGGGTGACCCAGTTCACTCAGCGTGCCGCCCCTCACTCCTCCGAGTTTCCTCCAACAGAGGCTCCGCTGCAGACTCTTCACATGGACATGTGGGGCCCCACCCGCGTCCGTGGCCAGGGTCACGAGCGTTACTTCCTGTTGGTGGTTGACGACTACTCGCGTTACACCACTGTGTTCCCCTTGCGCAGCAAGGGTGACGTCACTGAGGTGTTGATCGACTGGATCCGCGCAGTTGTCTCCAGCTCAGAGAGAGTTTCGGCTCGGACTTTCCTGTTCTGCGTCTACACTCTAACAGAGGCAGGGAGTTTTCCTCTGCCCGTCTGGGAGCCTTCTATCGTGCACAGGGCATCCGCCAGACCTTCACGCTTCCGGCCTCTCCACAGACAAATGGGATTGCTGAGCGCCGCATTGGCATGGTCATGGACGTCGCTCGTACGTCCATGATCCATGCGGCTGCTCCCCATTTTCTGTGGCCGTTTGCGGTTCAGTACGCAGCGCATCAGCTCAACCTTCAGCCCCGGGTCTCCTTGCCAGAGACTTCCCCCACCTTGCGGTGGACGGGGAAGGTTGGCGATGCGTCTGCGTTTCGGGTCTGGGGATCTCGGGCGTTTGTCCGCGACTTGTCTGCGGACAAGCTGTCCTCCCATGCTGTTTCCTGCGTCTTCCTTGGCTTCCCCCCTGACGCGCCTGGTTGGCAGTTTTACCACCCCACCTCGCGCCGTGTTCTGTCCTCCCAGGACGTCACCTTTGACGAGTCGGTGCCTTACTACCGTCTCTTCCCCTACCGCACTGCACCCCTCCCCCCCCCCCGCTCTTCCTTGCGCCAGGTACTCCCCCGGTAGACCCTCTCCACCCTCAGGGTCCTGCCCCGTCAGGTGTGTCCCAGGTAGACGCAGTCGAGCCTAACAAGATAGCTGTTGACTCTAGTGCTGCTAGGGGCGTTGAGCCTGCGGGTGCCGGGTCTGGGGGTGCTGAGCCTGGGGGTGCGGAGCCTGGGGCTGCTGAGTCTAGGGGTGCTGAGCCTGGGGGTGCTGAGTCTGGGGGTGCTCAGCCTGGGTGTGAGGAGCCTGGGGGTGCTGAGCCTGGGGGTACGGAGCCTGGGGGTGCAGAGCCTGGGGGTGCTGGGTTTGCTCATGTGGCCTCTAGAAGTGCTTCGTCGAGGCGGGAGCAACTCTCTCCGCAGGAGATGCGCGAGTGGTTTGCCCGGCGCTGGAGCCGTGCTGCTGGAGATGGAGGTACTCTTGTTGCTGCTGGTCCTGGAGGTGCTCGTGCTAGCGGTACTGGAGCTGCTGGGACTAGGGATGCTGCTGGGGCTGCTAGCGTTTGTTCCTGCTGGAGGTACTGCTGGAGCTGCTGGCGGTCCTGGAGCTGACGGTCCTGCTGGAGTTGGTGCTGCTGGAGCTGCTGGAGCTGAAGCTGCTGGGGGTGTTGGCGCTGGTGGTGCTGTTGGCGCAGGTGCTTCTGAGGGTGCTGGAGTTGGCGCTGTTGGAGCTGGAGGTGCTGCTGGCGCTGGTGCTGCCGCTGGGGGTACTGGTGCTGTCCCTGCTGGTTCTGGAGGCGCTGCGCGGCCGAGGCCGTACTTCGTTCCACTCCTTGAGCAGGTTCTTGGTCTCCCGCCCTCTACTGGTCCTGCTCCTCCCTTAGAGTGTCCACCGCCTGTCCAGTCGCAGTCACATTAACAGCCCGCCTCCCCCCTACCTGCTCCTTCTCCCTACACAGGTCCTACTGGAGGTCTTGCTGGGCGTCGTGAGCCTGCATCTCGTCCTGCGTTGCCAGTTTGTGCTGCTCGTACTAGTAGTCATGCTCTGTGTCCGCGTCCTCCTACGGTCCCAGGCACACACCAGATGGCACTGCGTCCTTCCACTGCTCCTTTGCCTGTTCCGTTGCCGTCTCCTCCAGAGTCCTCTCTTCCTGTTCTTGCTGACCCGGAGTCTCACTCTCTTCGTGTTGCCAGTCCTACTGTCACGCGTCTCTTGGCCACTGTTGTCACTGACCCTTTCTTTGAGTCCACTGTTGCGTCTGCCTTAGTTGCTGAGCTTGTCGACTTTGCTGCTCGTTGTCCTCTTGACTACGCAGCTAGTCTTGTTGATGAGTCTGAGTCTGTCTGTCCTCCGTCCATCGGGGGTGAGTGCGCTCTTAGCACGGACGTCGTTGAGGACAGGCAGAAGGAGTTCCAGTGTTTTGCCGCTGCTTTGCCTCATCTCGTGTCCACGCTGATTGCCCCTACGGGAGACCAGGATGCACCAGACATCCCGACTCCTCGATCGTACGCTGAGGCGATCGAGGGTCCCTACTCCTCTCACTGGCAGTCAGCCATGACGCAGAGATGGCTTTGTGGAAGTCCACAAGCACCTACGTCGACGAGGTTCCCCCACCTGGGGCGAACATCGTAAGTGGCATGTGGATTTTCAGGGTGAAGCAGCCGCCGGGTTCTCCGCCTGTCTTCAAGGCGCGTTACGTGGCTCGAGGCTTCAGTCAGCGGCAGGGAGTTGACTACTTTCAGACCTTCTCTCCCACCCCGAAGATGACCACTCTTCGGGTGCTGCTGCACATAGCCGCTCAGCGCGACTACGAGCTTCACTCTCTTCACTTCGGCACAGCTTTCCTACAGGGCAGCTTGCACGAGGAGATCTGGCTGCGCCGCCCACCTGGCTTCACTGGGTCGTTTCCTCCTGGTACCAAGTGGAGCCTCCGGCGGCCAGTCTACGGTCTCCGCCAGGCGCCCCGTGAGTGGCACGACACACTGAGGACTACACTTGCGGCTCTTGGGTTTGCTCCTTCTACTGCCGACCCGTCGCTGTTTCTGCGCACCGACACCTCTTTGCCGCTGTTCTACATCCTCGTGTACGTCGACGACTTGGTCTTTGCCACTGGTGACACTGCTGGACTCACCCACGTGAAGTCTGAGCTGCAGAAGAGACACACGTGCACAGACCTGGGTGAACTGCGCAGCTACCTTGGCTTGCAGATCACCCGGGATAGAGCACAGCGCACCATTACCCTGACTCAGTCACACATGGTGCAGCAGGTCCTTCAGCGCTTCGGCTTCACGTACTCCTCGCCTCAGGCCACTCCTCTGTCTACTCGCCACTCGCTCTCAGTTCTGCCTTCGGATGAGTCCGTAGAGCCGAGTGGCCCGTACCCAGAGCTTGTTGGCTGCTGCTGATGCTGACGCCACTGTTCGCTCACAGTGGGCAACACATGACGCTGCTGCTCGCCTTGCTGTGCGCCGCCACTTACCGACCACTGAGCGTGCACACTTTAGCCAGTACAAGAGCGCTCAGACCTTGTACGACGCTGTAGTTGCATGCTACTCTTCCCCTGCCACTGCTGCATTGAGCCGCCTCATGCTACCGTACCTCTTCCCTGACCTTGCTGCCTTTCCCACTGTTGCGGACCTCATTACGCACCTGCGCACTAGTGACACTCGCTACCGCGCTGCGCTTCCTGCTGAGTTCTGCGCCAAGAACCCCCCCCCATGTACATCACCCTCTACTAGATAGTCACCCAGCTCCCTGACTCTCTCCGTGTAGTCAGGGACCACTTCCTCTCTGTTTGCCCCACCACTCTCACCGTTGACCTCCTCGAGAAGGCCCTCCTAGCGATAGAGAAGAGCATAGTCGCTGTAGGAGCCTCTCGTGGTGACCCTCGCACCCCCGTCTTTGAGGGGTGTTCTCCCTCCCCCCTCTTGCCCTTTGTTGCCTCTACTGCTGCGGCCGACCTCGTTGGTTTCGAGTCGGTCGGCGCTGCGTCTTCCCCGAGCGGGAGACGCCGCGCCGGCAAGGGCAAGGGGGACAAGGGCACTGGAGGAGGTGGAGGGGGCGGTGGAGGTGGTGGTGGAGGCGGTGGAGGGAGTGGGGGTGGTGGTGGGAGTGGTGCTGGGGGTGGCGGCGGCGGCGGCAGCAGTGGAGGCGGCGGAGGCGGTGGAGGTGGCGGAGGGAGCGGAGGCAGCGGTGGTAGTGGAGAAGGAGGAGGTGGAGGAGGCGGCGGAGGCGGCGGCGGCGGCGGAGGCGGCGGTGGTGGAGCGAGTCGCAACTCTGGGTCGAGGAGTGGCGCCGGTGGTGGTCAGCGCCAGCAGCAGCAGCGGAGTGGTGTGACCCTGTCCCCTCAGCAGCTTCGTGAGTGGTACACTGCACGCCAGCGCGGTGGGGGTTTTGGTCCCTGCTCTTATGTTCTCTGTACCGGCAACCGCACTGGTGAGCAGTGCAGGGGTCCGCACTCCACCCAGCGCTGCTTTGGTCGCCTGACGGATGCGTGGCGTCGCCAGTTCCCTGAGGCGTCAGAGATGTCAGAATATTATCTTATTGTTCTAGCCTGTAGTGGGGTGCTCTATAGCGAGTACAACCCTTCTAGGGTTTGCTATTTGTATCCTCATTCTTGCTAGTTCAATCCTCTCTCTTTCTTTCTTCTAATTATGACATGCTATCAGAGCAGGTCGATCCCCTTGGATCGATCCTGTGGGTGGGCTCACCACCTCGTTGCTTCCGCTGCAACTGCTACTGCTACTCTCTATGCCGCACGCCCCGTGGCGTGCGGCAGTTTTTTCTTCCCGCCACGTGCTCGGGGCGCATGGCGGTTTTCTGCCCACCGCGCGCTCAGTGCGTGCGGCGGTTTTCTGCCCACCGTGCGCCCCGAGGCGCGCGGCGGTTTCCTGCTTCGCGCGGCGGTATTCTGCACGCCATGCGCTCAGGACGCGTGGCGGTTTTCTGCCCACCGCGCACCCTGGGCGCACGCGGCGGTTTCGCGTTCCGTCGACCCGCACGCCCGTCCCCGTCGACCTGCGTGCGGCTCCTCGTCGCCCTTCGCGGCGTCCCCGTCAACCCGCGCGAGGCTCCCTGTCGCCCTTAGTGGCGGCCCCGTCGACCCGCGCGCCGCCTCCGGCGACCGGTGTGCCCATCCCCGTCGACCCGCGTGTCGCCCTGCGGCCCCCCCCCCCCCCCTCCCCGCACACCTGCGTTTGCTTACCGCACACACGAGTTCGCTTCCCGCACACCCGATTT